TTGTTATTTACCTTCTATTTTCAAAAGATTCTGCGATGGAAAGCTCATTTAAAAACCATGTAAAATAATTAAAGATAAGAATATAGACCATAAATGTAACTACAACTTGGGTTAGATTGTTATAGTTCATACTGATTTGAATTTACTGGCAATGAAAACAAAATAAGTTCAAATTCCATGATTTATTATATATGACAGAAGAATACCTAAAATATCATTTTTCTTTTCACAGAAATGATGCTAGAATTGAACTTGAGGATTTTTTCCCTGTGAATTCCTGTTTGGAAGATAATTACTGACAAGTAATAGGCATTATCATTGACTGAGGTTTTATAATAAACAAACCTAGTGTATAGGTTTTATTAATAGCTGAAGCATAAATGCTAAATCAGTGAAGACATTTTCAGACTGAACAGTATGACTGAGTTAGTTTGCTATTCATTTAGTCAGCAGCCTCTTAGTGCCCACGCTTTGCCATGTACTGTGCCAGACATGAGGAATTAACAAAAGAAATTGTCCTTGAAGTCCTTAGTCCAGTAGGGAATTAGGTAGGCAAACAGATTATTAGAATATAGTATGCGAGTTGCTGTAATGGAGACATGTATCCAGTGCCCTTGGAGCCCAACGAAGAGGGTGTCTTCTTGGAGTGGTTGGGAGAAGGTTCTAACGATAAATGGTATTTGAGCCGATTCTTAAAAGTTTGCCAGGTTGAAAGGAAGGAAAGGGACATTCCTTACAGAAGGAATGCTCTTGGAGGGCCTAATTTATTTTAGCTGGAATTTGTACAGTCTAGAAATAGATAATTAACGTCCACTAAACTTTTCAACTCAAACATCATATGTCTTCAATGGACTTTTGGCTTGTACTTGAGTGCAGCGACTTCATGATTAAATTGTCTCCTATGCCTGCAGTGCAGATATTCTGGCACATGGTCAAAGCCCAGTAAATATTGGATGGATTGATGGACGAAAGGAAGGAAAAGAGAGCCCTGTATCATAGATGTTACAAAGTATGGAGGAGGTAGAGTTGTCACTGTGTTAGAAAAACTTGGAAGTTGATTTACGTTTTCAGCCAAATAGAAAAGCAATCCATTTTTATACAGGCAGCAAAGGGACCTGGAGATAGAGCCAATGTTTTCCTTAGAAAATAGCCTGGACTCTTATGAATTACCTGCACGAACATTTAACTTGAACTCCAGAGTCCTGCCGCATACAGCACAAAAGGAATGAGTTCATGCTAAAAAAGTTTAAGGGCAGTTATTACCAGCTAATCACAACATCCCTGAACTTTAGCCAGGCCTCTGTGGAGTGCCTGATTTTAAATAGAGCTGCTTCCTCGTGGTCCCTGTAGAATTATTAAGCTGTGCAGTGTATCCCTGAGTAGCTCAGACGCTTGACCCATGAAAGGGGTTATTTTAGATGCTTGGTGAATGATTACCAAGTGCAGCTTTAGTTTTGATGTATTGATTTTAAGTAACTTCTCCTGACAATAACTAGTCATCAGGTTCAAGAAGACTTCTTAAGATTCTTTTTGTTCAGGAAGTTGCAGACCTTTCTTCTGACCACCAGAATCATGTATTTCCCTGCCTGCTTGACTATTCTTTTGGATGTCTCATAGGTATCTCAGACCAAAACAGGGCCATTTAGAAATCTTATTCTTCACCACCACCTCCAGATCTGTGCCTTCTTTTGTGATGTGCCCTTCTCATTAAATGGATCACCATTTACCTAGTGACTCAAGGTTGAAGCAAAGTATTAATTCTTGATGTCCTCCCTCAGCCCTTAAGTCTAACCAGTGTCACTTAATATTTCTGATATCTATCCACCTTACTTCATTTGATGTGTCATCAGCCTTGTCCAAGCCACCATCATTCATTTGAACTACTGCCCTGTCCTCCTAACCAGCCTCCCTGCTTCTACTTTGGCTGTTTCTAATCAGTTCTCCACTTAGCACCCACAGTAATCTTTGTAAAACGTAACTTGATTATGTCATCTCATGCTTACAAGCCGCCAATGGCTTCCTGTTGCACTTTAGATAAAATAAAATGTATTTACTCTGGCCTACATGGCTGGGCATGATATAGCCTTGACTCACCTCTCCAACTTGGTCAGTCCGTCATTCCCTCTCTTTTACTTTTTCTCCAGCTATGCTGACTCTCTTCCAGCTCTTTGATATGCCAAGCTGTTTTTTGCCTTAGTATCTTTTCCCTGTTTCCTCTGCCTGGAATGCTCTCCTTTACTCTTCACCTGGCTCACTCCTCCTCATTTTTAGGACTCATCTTGATTGTTACTTTTTCCTGAGAGGTCTTCCCAGACCATCTAATCTAAAGTTGTCCTCTGATAATCTCTATCAGGACTTAGAATTTTAGAAGATTAGTTTGTTTCATCTGCATCTCCCTCACTGTAATATGATGCTCCACGGGGACCATATCTGTTTGATTCCTCATTGTACCATGGAGCACAGTGCTTGTACAACAGTGGTGCTTCATAAACATTTGTTGAATGAAAGACTGCTTCATTAAAATAAAAGTTGATCTAGAAAGGAGCATCTTATATTTCTCTTTGCAGTGACAGTGGGGCTTGCATCTCATTCCTGTAGCAGTGTTTGCAAACTGCTTCTGTATGAATATCTAGTAGAGTACTAATAGAAAGTCAGTTATCTGCCATTTTGCCTTGTTGCAAAAAAAAGCTTGGTGGCATTTTCATGGTTTGTCCTAGGGAGGCTAACAGACTAAGTTTAGGTCCTGTTTTTGCTCCTATAAAACTGTCCAACCTTGAGCAAGTTAACCAAGTCCTCCCAGGTCTGTTTCCCTTTGTGTAAAATGGGGAGAATTGTATCTATCCCATTGGCTTGTTATGAAGATTATATGAGATTATGTGTACAAAATGCCTCCTACAGTGCTTGGCACCTTTTAGGAGTTCAGGCATCCTTTTTCTTATCCTCTTTATACCAAAAGAGATTAATAAAGACTCAGAAAAACTCATTTAACTTACCTCATAATCTTATTGTTCTTAGTTAATGCATAATCACACCCAGGGGCACTAACATGAGGGTCAAAATCAGTTTAAGAGGAAATAATACATCTCTAGGGTGCAGATAAGCAATGACGGGCTGGTTATTTAATAGTCAATAACGTGGGCTCCCCTCAGAAAGATACACATGGGATTCTCCTTTGCCGTATGCCAGGGGTGGTTGTTTAACCTTGTAAAATTGTAATAACAAATAAATACAAGTAGGTATTTTCCATTCTAGTTCAGATAGGCCATATGAAAATATTTTTCCCATTTTATTTTTTATTTATTTATTTTTTTATTATTTTTTTTTTTAAAGATTTTATTTATTCAGTTTTTCCCCCCAAAGCCCCAGTAGACAGTTGTATGTCACAGGTTCACATCCTTCTAGTTGCTGTACGTGGGACTCGGCCTCACGTTGGACGGAGAAGTGGTGCCTCGGGGCGCTCCCGGGATCCGAACCCGGGCCGCCAGCATCAGAGCGCACGCACTTAACCGCTAAGCCACGGAGCCGGCCCTATTTTTCCCATTTTAGATGTTTCTATGGAGAAGCCTTGGCAGTACCATTGAAAACTCTGAAGTCCAGAGTTCTTGTAATTATGTTGTCAGTTTTGGGGGGTAATTAAAAAATTTAATATTCTGAAGACAGGTTATTAGATTCACATGGGTTGGATTCAAATTAGAAGGTGGTATATATTTCTGCCACCTACTTAGGCATACCAGTCTGGATGCTAGATTGAGTTTAAGGGAAAATGCTTGAGTTATATCTATCAAAATCATCAAAGGTTAATTCTCTGACGTTAAGTCAGAATAACTAACCCACCCTTGCCTCCACTAAATTTGTTTCACTGGGTAACATGAGACAGTAACTGTGACAAGGGGAATTGTTTCTCTATAAGCCAGGTCTTCTAGAGAGCTAGGGGCTTGAGCCTTAAAAGTTCAAGACCTTTGCATTTGTCTACTCAAATATTGACCCAGGCAAGGAGCTGTGGTGTTTATTTTAGGATAGGTATGATTTAGAGTGTTTCTACAAGGGGATAGACAGGACCGTTACTAGATGTAAGATGTTTATTGACTTCTTAGCTTAGTTGTTTAGAGCACGGGAACTTCAGGGAGGCCAAGGGAACAGATAGGACTCTCTCACTCTGCCATGTCCTGTGGCCAAAGATCTCACCTCAGACCCAAGCTAAGTATCCTGAAAATGTATGTGATTGATTATTTGGGACATGAGACTAATAACATATGAATATACCTGGGAAAATCCGTGGCCAACATTGCAGAAGGTGTGCTGTATTGATAGGGGGTGGTTTATATGAGTACTGATGTGTAGACATCTCTTTTATCTTATGGTCAGCTTCTGACTGTAAACCCAACTTCATAAGCCTGTATAGCTAAACTGAGACTTGTCGTTGCTCATGTTAACATATGTCCTGAAGCAGTGCTGTCATCTCACAGAGGGGACAGTAAACATTTGCACTGTTTTTAGTTTTTTTCAAAAAATTTTATTCTTTTACTCATAGTTATCTATCGAAGTGAGTAAAAGTTGATGTTATCTATCAATGATCTGGTCACTGAGTTTTCTTTTGGTGTTTTCTGTTCTGTGTCTGGTGGGACTGCAGTGCTTTTAAAAGAAATTGGGGCGGTACCTTTTCAGCAACAACTTCTGACCTTTTGTTGAGTAGAATGGGAGCCCGCCATTAAATGAAGAAATAATGCATTACCTTTGCCGAAATGGAAGTCTGTAGTTCAGAGCAGACCACCTTGATGACCCAACATAGGACTTCAGTCTCTCTCCTCCCATTAGACCGATTTGATGTTTAAATGACTTTTGTAGGGTGTTTCAGTTTAATCAGATGCTAGGAATTGAAAAGAAGTCATAAAAGAACCATAGTAGTAGTCTTTGGTCTGCCTATGAGTTGGGCATTAGCAGCCTGTTGTGGAATGTGACATCTCTCTTCCCTTTTTTTTTCTTTTTTTTTTTTTTTACAGAACGCCATGAACCTACCCCCTGACAAAGCCAGGTTACTGCGGCAGTATGACAACGAGAAAAAGTGGGAGCTGATTTGTGATCAGGTAAGATACAGAGATGCTTTTATCAAGAAATACTGGAAGAAGAGAACCAGATGTCCTCCTTTAAATGTATTAGACTTTTTCCAGCAGATGCGTGGATTTCCGTTTTGTGACTCTTCACCTTTCTGTTTCTTATGACCAAAAGAAAAGTTACAAAATGCTGTCTTTTATTCTAGAATTATTTTAATTCTCTCCTTTGTTTTCAAACATTTGGTAGTTAGATTTTCTGGGAAATCTGGTCAAGTGGGCAAACTAAATTCAGATGATCTGTTTTTCTGTTTACCTTACATAGCAGTTTATGCTGCTTGAATAATGCAGGTCCTCTAGTTTAGTTAGCTTTCCTATGCATGTATACTGTTGTATATTCATGCAAGAAGGTGAATTGTTTATAAAGAAACATTGCTTGGGCTGAGAAAAAAATTATTTAGCAATTCTCCAGTTGTTTTCATTTTATCGTTAACTCATTATAATAAATTTAGACTCTTCGGAGGGTTATAAAATAAAAAGTGAAGTTCTCCATTTTCTTTCTCTGTCCTCCAAATTCTATACCTCAGAGATCCACTGGTAGGATTTCGAAGTATCTCCTTCCAGCTTTTTAAATGTTTTTGTCTTTAAAAAACAAACAAAAAAATATATGAATACACACACTCTTCTGCATCTTGATACATTCCTTAGCATATATGTCTATACCTCATTCTTCTAAATGATGTGTAGCATTCCATTGTAGTTGGTAGTAGTTTTTTTTGGCACTTCGCTGCTGGGCTAGGTACGGGCTAGTTGTTTTAAATCTTAGAAGGATCCTTCTCTACAGCAGAGGGTAGGCTCCATATCTTAGCTCTTTTATTTTGTGCCATGAGTTTCAGGGTAGTTGTATCCCTCCCAGCCCCGCCACCTTGAAAATTTCTGAGGAGTGTTGTAATTCCTCCTAGCACAGCTCCCTTGGTCTCTACTGTGGGGATGAAATGTGTCAGGGGAGCAGAGGGGTTTTCTGTTCCCCATAGGTAAAGGGTCCATGTTCCCTAAGAAATAGATGCCTGCAGTTCAAATGGAGCTTCTGAAGCGCTCACTGTGTGTAGTTTAACCTTAGCTTCTCAACTAAAACGGTAATGAAACAGTGGGAAAATCATCCTCTCTTGTCCACACTATATTTGAGCACCAAGAGTAGATAGAAACTGAAGAAGCTTACTGCTTATGTGACTGCGATGCCAAAGAATAAAATTTTGCTGACACTTATAATCTCCTTCCTTGAGACTTAGCTTTTTATGAGTATTATCTGAACCTATTATTGTGAGGAAAAATGATTTTGTAATGACAGTGAATAAAGATAATAGAGATAATTAATATAAAGGAAAGGTAATCACACAAGTGAGGGGGGTCAAAGGCAGGTGAAAAATTCTGCAGATGCCAGGTTATGATGGTGTAGAGAGCACAGGCAGAGGGAGGCTGCCTCGTGTGGCCGTTAGTTAGCACACTGAGCAAGGGCTCAGCTTCCTTCCTCAGAGCCGCAGGATTCGCTGGCAACTCAATCTGGCCTGCTGCTTTCTGGTTTGATTGAATTATTTATTTTTGCATCTCCAATATGCCAGAAAGGGAAGATTGCTAATGATGGAAGAGTTCTAGCAGCTCTATTCTTCTCTCCGACCGAAAGTAGCTTCATAGGGTTGATGGTGGGGTCCAGGGGATCTTGAGGCTGGGAGGGGAGCAAATTGGTTATCTAATTGTGTTTCTGATTTTCACATCCTCAAAGTTCAGGTTATTACTGCCCTTAAATGTTAATATGCCAGGATATGGAGAATTTAGTCACTTAATCGATTCCTCTCTGTCAGTCACTTCACCAGGTGCTGAAAGCTCTGAACTGGAGTGACTCCATCAGTGCTGAGGTGTCATGGGAGATTTGTTAATAATAGTGAAATGATAATAATAACTATTGTTATCACCAATAGCCAGCATTTAGTAAGCAGATTTTCTTAATAAGAGCTTTGTGTTTAATCTTCCAAGCAGGCATACTTATTAGGTTTGTTTTTTTTTGTGAGGAGGACTAGCTCTGAGCTAATATCTGATGCCAATCCTCCTCTTTTTTTTTTTTTGTGCTGAGGAAGATCGGCTCTGGGCTAACATCCGTGCCCATCTTCCTCTACTTTATGTGGGACGCTGCCACAGCGTAGCTTAACAAGCGGTGCATTGGTGCGTGCCCGGGATCTGAACCTGCGAACCCCGGGCCGCCACAGCGGAGCGCGTGCACTTAACCGCTGCGCTACCAGGCGGGCCCAGCAGGCGTACTTATTAGTATCTCCATTTGACATATGGAGAAAACTTGAGATTTAGAGATTAAATCATTACCGAAGGTCACATAGCTGTTAGGTAGTAAAGTGGCGTAGGTGGTCTGATTCTGGAGAATATGCACATTCTGGGGTCTATACCCTTATCTACTCTCTGCTCCCTTCCTCACAAAGTGCTCAAGTGGTTGATGATACACTAAAAATAAAAAATACAGGTTATCTCTATTTCTCTGTCTTGCATTCTGGTATGCTACCCTGAGAGGGAGAGAAAGCCAGGGAGTTGTAACACAGCACAGAGCCTCACCTACCTGTGTTACCACTATAGTCAACTATCACTTTTGGTTAAACCGTAAGTCATTGTTAGAATTGTGGCCAGCAGAAAACCAGACTTTTTGTCATTTATGGGTAACCCATTAGTGTGTCTCATACATGAATGTCATTTCTCTAATGTGTGTTTGTGAGGGAAAGGGAAAAACCATGAGCTTAACACATTCATAATGTACTATTCATATGACAAATTTAATGTATTGGTGTTTATTGACTGAATGTTAATCTTATCTGTTATCTACATGGACCATGTCATATATATATTTGGTACCTAACCTATGTCTGTCTATGGTACTTAACCTGATGGACACTCAAAATACATTTGCTTTTATGATTCCATTTATAGGAAATGTCCAGAATAGGAAAATCCTTGGAGATAGAAAGTAGATTAATGGTTGCTAGGGACTGGGAACAGGGATGGGGAGTGAGTGCTAGTGGGTGCAGATTTCTTTTTAGTGTGACAAAAATTACACCAAATTACATAGTGGTAGGAATTACCTAGTAGTGGTAGTTGCATAGCCTTGTGAATATACTAAAATTGTACACTTTAAAAGTGTAAATTTTGTGATATTTGTTATATCTCGAAAAACAAGACACTTGCTTCTGCAACAATCAGAGGTAGGAAAAAAAGAGGGGAGGAGAACTTAAGAGAAATAACTAAATGTTTGTGTGGATCTTCTTTGGATCCTAATCGGAACGACCTAACTATAAAAGGACATTTTTAGAAAATTGGGAATATTTGATTAGTCACGCCAAAGAAATTGTTAGATGATTCCAAGAAATTATTGTTGACTTTGTTGGGTTTGGTTTTGGCATTGTGATTTTAGAAGAATCTGTCCTTATTTTTTAAGAATTGTGTACTGATATAGGGGTGAAATGATATGACTGGAGTTTGCTGTAAAATACTTCATGAAAGAAAAAAAAAGGGTAGATAAAGGAAATATGGAGAAATCTTGATAATTGCTGAATCTTGCTGGTAGGATTATGTTGAGGGTCTGTTATACTCTCAGCTTTTATGTTGGAAAATTTATAATATAAAATTTAAAAATAAAAATACTTGCTACTTAATGATCTTCATTTTTTCCTCATTAGTAAAATGTAGTTAATACGAACATCCTTAAATTATTTTGAGGACTGAAGGTAATATATGTAACGGACATAGAATAACACTTGACATATAGTAGGTGCTCCATAAATGGTGTGTCTGCTGCTGCTGCTGCTGAGGGGCCTAGATATTAAATACTGGTACCATTATTGTTTTTTATTGTCAATTTGTCTTCAAAAGATTCAGGGAAATTTATTGTGTTGAATCTATCATCATATGTTACTCAGACATACTTTATGATTTGAATGCATGTTGCATGATGCTGTTGGGAAAAGCCACAGCTATAGATTTTCAGTCCAAGAAAACATCAAGGCAAACCTCTTGTCTTATTTGTGAAATCTTAAAACAAAGACTATGGTGTGTTGTCGTTGATATCTGACACACGAGACAGTCCCTGGCCCCTGATGTTTTGTGACCAGTGTATTGAATACAAATATTGATTTTATTTCTTTTTAAGCAAATAATGAAGATTTATTATCTATAAATTGAGATATGTTATAGGCAAGGTACACAAAGTGAAACAGGGTATTATAGAAATTTAATACCAAGAGGAAGTATGTGATCAAGAGTGGTGGAGGACTTATGGAGAAATTATTTCAGATTTAAGTTCCATGAAAAATTATCATGTGGATACTATGAATCATGGAACTGGTTATGTTTCTCATGGAACTGGTTATGTTTCTCCTTTTTTCCTTGGCTACTAGAATGCTCAGAGCCAAATTGTGGTCTTCCTTTACCAAGTATACAGTATCTTAGTGGCGTGTGTTTTGTTTACCAGCCTCATCCACGACTTCATCTAATTTTCGCGCCCACATTTTCCCTCCACGCTGATTTCCTCACTTACAAAAAATCTTGTATGAAGTTGTAAACTTTCATAAGTCATCTTCTTGAATAAGATGAAACATAAAATAATACATCAGGATTACTGGTGAACAAAGATTATCCTTGCACTGATAATGAAACTTAAATTTTCTGTATGATGTGGGCATTGTGCAAATCAGTGCATCGAATCTGTTTTTCTCTAAGGAAGCAAATACAGAGGATCAAAATAAAATGCTTTGTCATGATTCAGCTTAGGAAAGTAAGTTGAGTTGAATACACGTCATCAACTTTTTCATGCTTTTGTATGGTTGCATTAGTCTGTTTCTTTGTTTGGTAAATAGTATTTAAATATGTCTCCTACTTAAGGGCATGCTCAATGTGTCATCTGTTTGTGTACTTCTCACACCTTGCTTAGTGCCTGAAACATGATAGGTGCTTATTGAAAGTGTGTTGAATGAAAGACGAGTTAA